AAATAGGCGAAACAAAAAAAAAATATGAAACCAACAGCAAAGAGAACGGTGCTATACGTTTCGTACGCCCTGAGAATAGAGAGTGGGAGGTGTGGCCGCGATATGACGGTGCTCGTCTTTTATGGTTGCCGGAATAAAGTGTCCAAACAAAAACAGAGGGCCTTGGCGCGTGTGCGTTGTAGCGGGGGAAATCGCTCGCGCCTCGAACACTTGGTCAACGAAGATGGCAAACGTTGTAAGAAAAAAAACTGCCTTTGATGCCTCCCCTTACCCCTTGCAAACTCCAAACTTTGCTTGATATAAAAACCTACCAAAAAAACTCGCTTCCATTGGCCTTTGACGTGATCTCGTGTTGGACTTCGCAAAACTCAACCCAAATCGGGGGTCAAAAGACACAAAGTCAAGTCCATATTACAATTATTGCACTGCTTTAACGTTTGGCCCTGGGGAAGACATCAGAAAAAGGGTGGTCATCATTCTTTATATTTATGGTGTTGTACTCATAGCCGTGCATGCCGTAGTCGTTAGGCCATTTACCTCGCATCCCTACCAAGCCGGGACGGAGCACGCCGGGTTCTCACCGGACCAGGCTCTCACATCACCAAGCGCGAAGGGCCGTGAGTTATTCGGCGAGTCGCATGAAGGGTGCGCTGCATCCTGCTAAGGGTGTTCGGCATCTTGTGCTTACTTCCTTGCGTACGGATGACAGCTGTGTATGACTTAATTAATGTGCTGGTGCTTTCACTTCCAGGGACAGTTATAAGCACTGTGTAACTGCCTCGAGGATGCTTGACCATTTTAACACAACGTGGTGCGATCATCCCCCGTTGCGCGGAGTGAGGTTTCTCGACCCCGCACAACATGATCTACTCGACCACCATTATGGTTACCGCCAAAAAAAAAACCGAGGTAAAAAAAAAAAAACGGTAACCTGGTTGCCGAGTTCACGAAGTGAATTGGCTTGTTTTACAACGTCGTTGCCAAGCGACGAAAACCCAATCCCGATGGCAAACACCGAGTGAGGGGCTTGTTTTACAACGTCGTTGCCAAGCGACGAAAACCCAAACCCCGATGGCAAACACCGGGTGAGGGGCGGCTTGTTTTATAACGTCGTTGCCAAGCGACGAAAACCCAACACCCGATGACAAACACCGGCGGGGGGGGCCTCGGGGGGGGGTGTACTCATACTCATAGTCGTGCATGCCATAGTCGTTTGACCATTGACCTCGCATCCCTACAAAGCCGGGACGGAGCACGCCGGGTTCTCACCGGACCAGGCTCTCACATCACCAAGCGCGAAGCGCCGTGAGGTATTTGGCAAGTCGCATGAAGGGTGAGCTGCATCCTGCTAAGGGTGTTCGGCATCTTGTGCTTACTTCCTTGCGTACGGATGACAGCTACGTATGACTTAATTTATTTTCTGGTGCTTTCACTTCCAGAGACAGTTGTAAGCACTGTGTAACTGCCTCGCGAAAGCTTGACCATTTTTAACACAACGTGGTGCGATCATCCCCCGTTGCGCGGAGTGAGGGTTCTCGACCCCGCACAACATGATCTACTCGACCACCATTATGGTTACCGCCAAAAAAAAAAAACGAGGTAAAAAAAAAAAAAAACGGTAACCTGGTTGCCGAGTTCACGAAGTGAATTGGCTTGTTTTACAACGTCGTTGCCAAGCGACGAAAACCCAATCCCGATGGCAAACACCGAGTGGGGGGCCTCGGGGGGGGGGGGGGGAAATCAAAAACAAAAGAAAAACACCTCCGGGGAAAACAAAAACCACAACGACCCTGTCTGCCTCCCCCCTCTCACGCTTGGGCCCGCTCCCCTTCCATGTTATCCATGGGCAACAAGTGAAGGCCCCTGCCAAAATAAACGGCGTCCGGAGAGCCTAGCGATGCCCACTGCGGCGGCTCCAAGAACTTCTGGAACGAGTGTCGGAAGCACACCCCTCGCCCGCCACCATTGGCCGTGTGGTTACCTAGATCGAGAGCCGGCGTTCCGTGGTCGTTGGCGTCCCCGCCCTCTTCTGCGGGTTCTCGCGGCAAGGTGTCGATGCAGCACTCGTCTTGGTGACCCTGCCGCACCGAGGGGCGGAGGGGGGGGGGGAGGGGGGT